AATGCAGAGTCACAAGCCCCAGTACTCACGGCACCATGCAGCTATGGGCAGCTGTGATACTGGGTCCAGCTCCGGCCTGTCCTTCTCAGGCAATTCCCCCCAGCACAGTGCTCCTCCTGGCTCCTGTCCTGGGGTGTCCCTTATCGGCTCCCTGTCTCTCCTCAGCTTCAGGCAGGTTCTCTGCTGCTTCACTTTGCAAGGGCCTGCAGGCTGCAGCCCTTCTCTCTCTCTCCCTGGCTCCATAGCCCCACCTGGAGTTTCCCTCCTTTCTTTCACTGCTCCCCCTCCCCCCTTAGGAAAAAGATTTAAAGGGGCCATGCTCTCTAAACCCCAATGGGGTTTCACAAGGTTCAGACTAAGTTAACTCCTGTACTAGTCTATACCTAGGACCTCAGTAAGTGAAGGCATATCTTGAAGGGCAAAGTGAGTGATGATACAAGAGACAGCTGCACACACAAGTTAGGTAACAATCAATATTTAACTGTAAAATCCAGAGAAAAGTAACAAGCAAACAAATGAACAACACGTTATTCACCTACAGTAGATAGGTAGCTAGCAACACTCATAGAACATACATGCTTAAAATAGCCATCCCATGTCTAACCCAAAAACTTTCTGAGGTACAAGGAAGCTCCCAATAAAATATAAGGACTTAAGTAAGACAATCACAAGTTTAAAAGTTGTCTGTTTTCCCTTCCATTTTCCCATGACTCCTGGCTGTCCCTCTATTATTTCCATGCCACTTTTTTTCTTTTCTCGTTCTTATCTAGTGTTTTAAATTATTATTTTATGTCTTTTTCTTGCCTCTCTTTTCTTTTTCTTTGCAAAGAAACGTGTTTTCCTCTTATTCTTCATTGTCTCTTGCAATTACATTCCTTTCGGTTGCCCAACATCCCTCTTTGCTCTTTCCTATATTAACATACTCTAAGGGTATGTCTACACAGCAATTAAACACACACAGCTGACTCAGGCTCATGGAGCTCAGGCTACAGGCTTTAAAATTGAGGTGTAGATGTTTGGGATCAGGCTGGAATTATCCTAATATAGACTACAGCTGGATTTAGGCTCTTTACAACTCAAACTCACATAATCTGTAATTTACATTCCTCCCTTACACATCAGCTCCAAGTTTGTCCCACTGAGTCAAACTAAGGCTTGGCCTACACTCGCAATTTATGTTGGTATAACTACATTGCTCAGGAGTGTGGATTTTCTGTATCCCTGAGCAATTCAGTAAACCAACCTTAATCCCAGTGTAGTCAATGCTGTGTCAAAGGGAGGGCTTCTCCCATTGACATAGCTACCATCTCTTGGGGAGGTGGAGCATCTACACTGACTGGAGAAGCCCTCCCGTCGGCATGGGTAGCATCTTCACTAAAGTTCTACAGTGGCACAGTTTAATCAGTGCAACTGCACTACTGCAGCCTTTTAAGTAAAGACAAGCCCTAAAAGACTAAGGGAGTTGTGAGTTATACTAACTTCCATGCCTATGGACTAGAAGAAAGGAGTGGTGCAGAAAAAGCAGCTAACAGGAGGACATAAGAACGTGTAAATTAAAGACTTCTGTTTAAATTTAGCTAGGAAACAGTTGTGAGAAGGTGTAAATTAGGCCTTGTCTACACAGGGATTGAAATAATCAAACTGGGTGTAATTCACACCTTCAATTATTTTGGTGAAAGTCTGTGTGTTGATACTTTAATTTCAGAATAAAAGTATTCTATTTCAGTGTGCTGTGAGTTACACATAAATAGAATACTTCTGTTCTGAAATGAGAGCATCAACGATCACAGACTTGCAACAAAATAACTAATGTTCTGAATTACAACCAATTTAGTTATTTTGGTTTCAAGTCCTTACAGTAAATTAGATTCCCTTACATATCAGATCTATGAGTAGGTGAGTGCAAGATGCTACCCAACACATCACCTCTGATTTTGGCCATCACTCTTTATCAGCAGAGGCATTTTGACATCTTCTCCTTAGAAAGAGTTAAAGAGTTAAATCTTTCCAGAATGTAATGTTACTTGAAATATAATATAAAATCTTTGTAAACACACCTCTTTGCATTTTGACACATTTAAGTTGCAGAGCTAAACAAAGTTGCAAGTTCAAAACCCAGTATTATCACTTTAGTATTTTCAGCTGGCTTGTCTAAATTGAAAACTTTAGGCTCAAGGATCCTTCCTTGCTTAAACGAAAATAGGTTTGTGCCCTTACCTGACATAATAATATTAGTTATCACTAATCATGATCTCTGATGTTTTTTCTGCTGTCTCCAAGCAGCAACTTCAGGAATCAAATGATAGACACATGAGTGCAGATAAATTTATAACACTCATTCTGCATCTTGAAGAGTTGTTTAGATACTAGAAGCCTGTTGTGTGTTCAGTTTAATTTTAATCACCTCTAGCCATCTGCTTCTGAAACTGACTTTAGCTGGTCTATTCCTGTTATACTCTGGATAGTGATGCTCAACCTATTTATCTAGAGCTGTGTTGTAGCACTTTATGATCCCATACGCAGTATAAAATAGGGCTTCAGTAGTGCAGAGGCCTTGACAGGGGCAAATTGCATCCAAAAACCTGATTTGTTGATTGGTAGCCGTAATTAAATATCTGGGGCATATTTAGGTACCATTCAATGTATTTTCTTCCCCACAATCTGGTCAGGTGTTTTGATCCAAAGTTTTGTGCCCCCCATGCACACCCAGCAGACATGTATAGCTTTCCCCCTTCTTTTCAGATCTCCTCCAACAGTGCTCATTAGGAATTTTAAGTTTGTAATAGTTTATCAGTGATTGCTGATCACTAAAATAATTTTCTCGTAGAATACAGCACATAGAAGAAGCAGATCTATCTGGCCAAATAATATTACCATTTGATTTACATTTTTGTATGGCATAGCCTTTTCCCATCTTCCCAGAAATGTAGGTTTCACTCTAATGAAGGGCTCTGATAAATGAACGAAATTATGCCCTTGTTGCCCAATTTACACATTGTACGTTTTCGAGAATAACATAGAGTTGGAATCTCTGATGAGTTAACATACTATTTAAGCAGTACAGACATTTATAAAAGGTAATCCTGGGCTGCCAAACTTAGCTCTGGTTTGATGATAACTCATTAATACTTTATTTTTACATATTTGACCTATTTAATGAATCCTTGAATCTTCCTAATCTTGAAACTTCCTGGCTTCTGCTGTGGATTGCATTCCAAATTCTTGCTAAGCAATCAATTCTAATGTTTCAGTTTGTAGACTGAGCTCTAGTTTGGGTGTCAGGAAGAAATATCCGCTAATCTCTATGCACAGCACTACAGAACTGGCTAGCAACGATTTGGAAAATTTTCACTTCCCCAAATGTAACTGATGATGGTTACTACCAAAGAAAGGGCACTGGATCAAACTGACCAATAGTCTGATCCAAACTGGCAAATTCTATGTTTCTAGAAAGAAGATAACAGATAGACGCAAAATACATGAAGATTTAAGAACTATACATTCTGAAGACAATGTTGGCAGGAAATCAATAACAGAAATTTCAGAGTCTATTTTATATTAATGAAAAAAATTCCTTACCTACAGTACAGATAATTTGTTTGACTGCTCAAAACCTCCAGAAATATTTTATAATTTACATTTCTCATTAACATAACAAGTTAATTAAAGCAAATGAAGGTTAATTTAATCAGACACCGGTACTATATTTGAATAGATTATTGCATTTATCTATTAAATAGTTTGTCTTTTATTCTTCTATCCTCATTAAACAGTATTCTGAATAATTATAATATCAGAAAAAGCTTTTATAAAGATACAGCATTACAGTATTCTTATTAAGAATTTCAGGTCACCTACAGCATTTATACAAAATGTTACAAATCTAGGCAAACTATCTCAGGCTATGAAGCAAGAAAGTAATTCTTTATATCACTGTGTGAGTTTCTAAGGTCTTTACCATTTGGATGATTACATTATCTCAGTTTTATATTCACTATTCGGGAGGTAAATGTCATCTTGAATCATTGAATCTCAATTTTTTACACTTTTCCTTTTGGTTGATAGGCTTTTTACCCATTGTAATTTATTACTATTACTGATGAAAGTATAAAACTAAAAAACTGAGAGTGTAATCAAGGCTAATGGTGAACCAAATACCATGTGATAATAAATTAACAAGAAAAAATGCTTTAGAGACAAATTGAGAGGTTTACCATTTCAGGTTGAATACTGTTACAACAACTGTTTATGTAAAATACAAGTCTGTACAAAGAAAATCACATTCTCTTCTTTTATGTAAAAATACAACATGTCTTGGCTCTTTATTATACAGAGCTATGGAGAGGCATTTTCATCTTAAGAACCTACACTTCTGGTGAACGTAAGGTAATTGTGGGCTCTTTCATGACATAAATTTTCATTTATCATGACATATAATGGGGAAGAGACCAAACTACTAAATTAGAATAAGCTGTGACCAAAGCTGAATGAATTTTACAGGAAGGCATGTATATTGTTAAAGTCACTGCCAGTATTTATCCCATGACTGTTCCATTAAATTAGTATAACAAATGAAGAAGCTGAAGTGCATTTGAGCTGACTTTTCACAATTATTGGCCATGCCTTTATATTCTTGCTGTGAAATTATATTCTGTTCTCAATTTGGTCATTAAGTTTATACAACAACTAGGACAAATACTGCAGATTTTACTAAGAAGAAACTCCTTTGGCAAATCAATGAAACTTTTCCCTGATTAAGAACCTGATCCAAATGTAAAGACTTCCTTTGATTTCAATGGCTTTTGAATAAGGCCACAAGTTACAGTTTGGACCAAACTGCCTAATTACAGCAAAATCCAAGAATGAAACTGTCATCTGACTTTAAATATCCTGAAACCCTGCACAGTGTTTCTAAAGTCAAGAAACAAAATAATTAAGCATATGGTTTGTCCACTTCTCTGCGGTGAAACACTAACACTATATTAAATTAGTTACAGTACCTTGGGATACTGTTTGACAGGGATCAGTACTCTTTCTGACAGCTTTATGTTTTTGTTGCTGATGACATCAAGGTATTTCTTTTCTTCATCTTCCTTTTTCCCATCAGAACCCTGAAATTTTTCAATTTCTGAAAAATTTAAAAAAAAGAAAGCAATCAGTGAGGTGATATTTGTCATCCTCAGAAATTCTACTACACATAATATGACTTTTTCTTATATTTATAAAAATATGATGTAATTCGACAAAAATCCAAAGAGTTGTAAATTTTGAGTTGTGTCTGGTCTTACTTAAGTCAATTTACAACTTGTTGGTTTTTTGTCCAATTACATCATATTTTTATAATCCTGCACCATTAACTCCAGTGAAACTAGGATTTGATACAAAGAGTGGCATTTAGGGAGGGAGGTTTAAAAGCACTCAGCATTGTTTAATTCTGCTCCCACTGATGTGGACGGTGGAACCCTACTGATTTCAATGGGGGGAAGAAATAGGCCAATGCTGAACATTTTTGAAAACCTCACCCTTAAACCTTTACCAAAGATTCCATTTAGTCAGCCCAATCTGAGAAGAGAAGCACTTTGGCTATGCTTGATGGACCTCTGTAAATGAGACCTGCCACAGTCAGTAAGATTCAGTTTGCAATGTTTAGCTTACAGTGAAAGCATTCAAGAATGAAAGAGTCATCTTGTCATTACTCTACTGATATTTTCCATGCAAGCGTAATTTTCATGGAGGTCATAAATGAAATTCAGGTCACTTTTCCAAATGAGATCACTTTCTTGTGTGTGTGTGCATGCAGACATCTGTGTTTATTTTTTACAGTGGTTACTGTTAAAACAAACAGTTTTAATCTGCTGATCATGCCAATAATAAAATATCCTGTTGGCTTTTTAATTTAGATCTCATGAAAAATTGGGATTAATAAGCTATTTATTGGACTGTAGTTAGTAGTTAGCAGTTCAGGACCAACACTTTTTTTTTTCACTAAAAAGCTTCTTATTCTACTTTTAAGCAGATATTAACTAATTTGCCCCTTTTATTTACTTGATACGTACAATTAAATCAAGTGACAGGATCAACTGTTACACTACATAATATCTTCTCTGAACTAAGATCAGGGCTGTTAGGTGACATAGTTCAGTACACAAGGGAATAATGATATTTAAAAAAACACTTAACAGTTTCACAAAATCATCCTCAAAATTTATTCAAATTCACTTAGTTATGAACAATGTCACATACATTGACAACTGGTAGTAACACTGTCAGCAAAGGCTAATGATAAACAGCAACACATCACTTTGAGGAGATGAGTCTAGTGATAGAGCTTAGTGATATCAGAGGGCATGATTACAAATTCAATATTTCTAGCAATATCATTATTACTAGTTATTAAGTGTAGCGCCCAGGATATTATAGGTGCTTTCAAAACAAAGATTCCAGAAGGGGCAGTCCCTGATCCTGAGGAGCTTTCAATCACAAAGCAGAGGCAGATAACCAGAGATGAGTGGAAGGGGAACAATAATTAGCAACATATATGCAATTTCTCTGTAAGCACCAGGACAGAGGAGTGTTTAAGATACCACCATCTTCAGTATCTGTGGATAAATGTTGATCTTTTAACATTGACTACTCTAGGTCCAGCCTTACTTAAAACCTTCATTATTGATCAGCACTTAAATGTCACACTGATAGGCACCTTAGAAAAACAGACATAGAATGGATCTCAAATAGGAAGGAAACGGTGAGTAATTTAATTTTTCAGATGATACTAAATTTGAAAGGGAGACACAAATATTATTCAAGACAAGGAAATTGACTCATCAATACTCAAAGAAATAAAATGAGTTCCAAAAATGAGTTCCAATTTGGAAAAAAGCAGCCTAATATACTTGAAAACAAATGTGATACACAATATTCAATGGGAGGGAGAACTCAGGAAAGAAACATGGCTGAAATAGTATGAGTGATAGTGGACAGTTAATTAGGCATGAGTTTACACATATATGGCAGCAAAAATAGCCAGTGCATTCTACAGTAAATAGGTATTCTCATACATAGTTCTAATGCAGCCATACAGGGAATGTTCAATTTGTGGATTTTCATTACCAGAAAAATGGACACACTCCCTAGGGGGTTAAGAAAACATATAGCTTGTTTGGAAGTTGATTAAGATGACTAAACAGCAGGAAGGGAGAGGCATTATTTAGAGTGGTGCACAGAGTCATAAATAGGAGTAATGGGATCAAATTAAGAAAGGGACTATTTAGACTGCGAACTGGAGATGTTTCCTGGCAGGGAGAATGATTAGACTGTGAAATATTATCTAAGGAAAGTGGGGAAAGGCCTGTCACTATGGATATACAAATGAGACTGGGCAAAGCAAATGTAAATGTGCAACATGGGTAATTTGAACCAGCAGGGAAGATGGACTGACATGTCTAACCCATCTCTAAAAAAACAATGAATCTATAAAAAGAAAAGGAGTACTTGTGATACCTTAGAGACTAACAAATTTATTTGAGCATGAGCTTTCGTGAGCTACAGCTCACTTCATCGGATGCATTCAGTAGAAAATACAGTGGGGAGATTTATATACATAGAGAACATGAAACAATGGGTGTTACCACACACACTGTAACCAGAGTGATCACTTAAGGTGAGCTATTACCAGCAGGGGAGGGGGGGGGGAAGAAAACCTTTTGTAGTGATAATCAAGGAGGGCCATTTCCAGCAGTTGACAAGAACGTCTGAGGAACAGTTCGGGGGGGGGGGGGGGGGGGAATAAACATGGGGAAATAGTTTTACTTTGTATAATGACCCATCCACTCCCAGTCTCTATTCAAGCCTAAGTTAATGGTATCCAGTTTGCAAATTAATTCCAAATTAGCAGTCTCTCGTTGGAATCTGTTTTTGAAATTTTTTTGTTGACGAATTGCCACTTTTAGGTCTGTAATCAAGTGACCGGAGAGATTGAAGTGTTCTCCAACTGGTTTTTGAATGTTATAATTCTTGACGTCTGATTTGTGTCCATTTATTCTTTTACGTAGAGAATGTCCAGTTTGACCAATGTACATGGCAGAGGGGTATTGCTGGCACATGATGGCATATATCACATTGGTAGATGTGCAGGTGAACAAGCCTCTGATAGTGTGGCTGATGTGATTAGGCCCTATGATGGTGTCCCCTGAATAGATATGTGGACACAGTTGGCAACGGGCTTTGTTGCAAGGATAGGTTCCTGGGTTAGTGGTTCTGTTGTGTGTTGTGTGGTTGCTGGTGAGTATTTGCTTCAGCTTGGGGGGCTGTCTGTAAGCAAGGACTGGCCTGTCTCCCAAGATCTGTTAGAGTGATGGGTCGTCCTTCAGGATAGGTTGTAGATCCTTGATGATGCGTTGGAGAGGTTTTAGATGGGGGCTGAAGGTGATGGCTAGTGGCGTTCTGTTATTTTATTTGTTGGGCTTGTCCTGTAGTAGGTGACTTCTGGGTACTCTTCTGGCTCTGTCAATCTGTTTCTTCACTTCAGCAGGTGGGTATTGTAGTTGTAAGAATGCTTGATAAAGATCTTGTAGGTGTTTGTCTCTGTCTGAGGGGTTGGAGCAAATGCGGTTGTATTGTAGAGCTTGGCTGTAGACAATGGATCGTGTGGTGTGGTCTGGATGAAAGCTGGAGGCATGCAAGTAGGAATAGCGGTCAGTAGGTTTCCGGTATAGGGTGGTGTTTATGTGATCATCGCTTATTAGCACCATAGTGTCCAGGAAGTGAATCTCTTGTGTGGACTGGTTCAGGCTGAGGTTGATGGTGGTTTACAGTGGCACTTTTAGTCTTCAAAGTAGTTTTTTCAACCCCAATTTAGGAAGGCACTTAAGCATATACTTAACTTTAATTTTGACTTTAATGGGACTTAAGGTCAAGCTAAGGGCTGTCTTGAATAGGGATGATTTCCTGAACTGAGGCTTTAACATTAACTAAGTTATTCTCACAATATCCCTGTGTGGTAATTAAAGGAAAATTATTATTTCATAAACAGTAAAACGTAGCCTTTGGCAAGTGACATGGGGCAATATTTTTAAATCTGAGTGTTTAAATTTAGGCACTCAAATAAGCTACATGATTTTCAGAGGAGATGAACATCAACAAGTCCCATTAACCCCCTGTTTCCTCTGAAAACTCCTCACTATAATCATAGCAAGTAGTCTCTCTTTTAGAATATGTTTTTAAAAAATTGCTCCACCCATTTTCTTTAGTGCATGAGTATGAACATGCACATACTGAGAAGCATTCCTCACCCTCTATGAACTGCAAAATGTTTTTGAAAATAATCAGTTTCACTAAACAAGTTTATTTTGTCCCCTACTGCTGGCAGTGGACATTTTACTCAGAGGTGGTACAGTTAAACCAATTGCAATCTTGCTGAAATATAGGTCAACCAGTTAGATTTATTTCATTGGACCAACATTAAACATTCTTAAAGTGCAGATACTAACTATTAAACCAGTGCCAGAGTAGATACCATTTACTGAACTGTATTGCCTACCACTGGTGCCAAAAATAATATCATTTTACATCAAAATTGCTGCTACCAACAATAGGATCAATAATGCCAATTTTCAGCAAAAGACTTCCCCAAAATCTGATCTCTGTGACAGTACACTAGTGAAAATCATAAGTGACTCTAGCAATTTAAATGGAGTCATCAATCCAGATTTACAGAGATAAAAGTGAGTGAAAAATTTGACCTTGTTTTTCTGATACACTTCCTGCCACGGGGACATGGCTCAAAAATTCTTGTCATCATTAGGACCTTCAAAACACACTGCAATTAGCAAAAATTAGCTATTTCCTTAATCACTGATAATGTGTCTTTGCTTTATTGCAGTGATCAGCACCAGGGTAAAATCCTGGTCCCTCTGAAGGTAATGGCAAAACTCCCATTCACTTCAGTGGTACCTGGATTTCAACCCTAGGTCTGTAAAAAGTAAAAAATGTAAAATATAAGAAGTGTTTTTTTTTAACTTAACAGTTATAGATATGGCTTTCCTTTTTCCATTGAGCAGGTATTAAGTGAATCCTGACATATTTTGGTTTACAGTATATGGCTCTTCCACAGAAAACCATACACACCAT